TGCACAGACATTTCCCCTTACTTTTGAGGGGGGAAAAGTGCATCTTATAGAGCGAAAAATACGGTATTCATTCATTCAATTTGTATCCAGCCTTTTTTCCCTTTCAAGGCAGCTCACATCATTCTCCTTTTCCTCTTAATCTTCACAACAACCCTGTGAGGTAGGCTAGGCTGAGAGGCAGTGACTGGCCCAAAGTCATCCAGTGGATTTCATGGGCAAGTGGGGACCAGAAGCACGATCTCCTGAGCCCCAGCCCCACACCGAACCACAGCCCCACACTGGCTCACCTGGGCTGCTTTCTAGACTGAACTGAACTAAGATTTTAGGCTTTAAAGTCTTCACAGCTCTGGACAAAACCCGGTAGATCATCCATTTCCACAGGGATTGGCCTGGACATTAGCTAGGAATGACAAGGACCATTTTCCTTTCTTCCATCTTTTCGTTTTCTTTTTAAGGCCCAGTTGTTTCCAACCATATGCAGATTTCAGTAAGCACCGATCAAGCCAGTGGCACAGCCACTCCTGGCACAGAGACGGCCACACTGCACCCACCTGCCATAGAGCTATTGAGAAAAGGCGCAGGAGCGGTCCCAATTTATTACCCCAGGCATGGCTGAACACACGGGTGTGGACTCGGACTTTTAAGAACTAAGCACTCCGAGCAATCTGGATGGATGGCTCTGCATCAGTTTCATTTAGTCCCACCTTCAAATATTAAAAATCTGTCTGATTGACGTCGGCCTCAAATGCTGGATTTGACTGACTTCAGGTATGATCCAGCAGGGCAGCTCAGCCTCTTAAGTGCCTTCAAAGCAATGATGCCTTGGCACCCACGGAATGCTAATTTGGCAAAGGGATTTCCCCGGGAAGGGGCTGGGGGTTGGTAAGAGCAACTCAGAAAAATTCTGGTACATTTTTTATTAACACATAGAAAATTCTGGAGAAATACAAAATGGTATTACTTCGGGAGAACAGTGGAAAAAAACCTGAAGGAGTTAGGCATTGTAACTTTCATTTACGGCACAATTTTTTTCCTTGCTTTTTTTTTTAATGAAAACAAAATCTTAAAGGTTGAGCAAGCACACTTATACAACAGTACCAACAACAACAAAAAGGAACTTGAAATAAATGGAAAATTATGTTGCGGCTGCAATGCCATGTGCAGCTACACGGACTTCAAGAAGAAGTTGCACAGAGCCAAGGCAAAAGCCCATTGCTTTTCCTTTCAGCCACCAAATGACCAGAAGGTAGATTGTCCCAGCAGTCTTCAGGTCCAAAACGGTGCCCAGAGAAGGATTCCAACATGAAATATACAGTATATTCAGCTGGGAAAAGGTAAAACTGTTCACATTTCTCTTACAAAATAAGCATCAAATACAAGTGTTTTCCAGACAACAGTTCTACAATCACATCCATGTAGTTTAGAAAAAAATAGGCTATCATTTCATGTTTGTCTACTGATTTTGTCAAACCCTTTTCTAGTGCTCCAAGCATGATTGATATCGCAACATGCCACTGTGGCCAGTCACTCTTCCTGTCTTTTTTGGGACTGGTTCACAAGATGGGAGTCTCGGATGTGGCAAGGGCAGAACACTGGCCAAAGCACCTGTCCCTGCACGATGAGTGGCCCACTGAGCCGAATGCGGCCCCTCCAGTGCTCGCAGTCTGGAGCCGGCATCTTTGGGCCACTCCTGTGGCCACCAAACAGCCTGGCAGGGCTAATGCTTGGCCTGTCCCCATCGGCGGTGGAGCCTCCTGGGCCTTTCAGTGCTGGGTCCTCGCCCTGCCACAGTGACCGGGGGCCGGGAGGGGAGAAGCATTTCTCCCACCGCTTCAGCTGGACCAGCCCTGTGGCAGCCCCAGGCAGCGGCAGAAGCACACTCACTGAGTCCCTGGTCGGGGGATGATTGCAGCAACTGGACTGGGCCGTTTGTGGTGCAGCCAGTGGTGGAGGCATCCTGTGCTGTTAGCTGGAGGAGCCACACTTAGTCTTCCCACATGGTTTGCGCTCACCTTCGAGAAAGTCCCAGGCCCTCTTTTCCCCAGATGTGCCCCTTTGACCCACGTGTTGCATCATCAATCCAAAACAGAACCCAGTCAGCTGAGCTTTCTCCTGTCACCGAGCCCCCTCTCCACACCATCATCCCATCCCCTGGGGTGGCTTTGCTCATGATAAACCTCTCCTCTTACAGGACATGAGGACCCAGACTTTCAGGGGTCAGTGTGAACAGACAGCATTCACTTCTCCTTCTCTCTTACCTGTGTGCAGCCAATTCCACAGTTACAGGAGAAGAGGAGGATCTGATGCAGCAAGTCATCACTACCCCAATCCCACCCTCCCTTGCCAGCCTTCTTCGCTCGTGTCCCATTGCCTTCGCATAAATGGCTCGTGTCCCATTGCCTTCGCATTGGCAGCCACAGTGCCTTCGCATAAATATTGGGGCTGCTGCAAAGGCTGCAGCAGCCAGGCTAGCAGGTGTTTGCCCCTTCGCATCCAGGGTGACCTGGGAAGGCAAGGGAGTTCTGCTGGCAGCGTAGACCATCCTTTCCTCCCTCTGCCTCTCTCATTCCCCTGCCCGTTCTTTGCTCTTAAAAGATTAGGGCATAAGTCCCTTTTATCATGGTGGAATCCAGATACTCATCCTGCGTTCTCTTAAAGAGCTTGTCGTCAGTTTTCTGAGAAGTCCTCTCCCTCTTTCTCCAGGCTGCCATGCAGCTTCAGACACGGAAAGTGCAGATTCCTGATGGCTCTGCACATGGCAGACTCGCTGCTGAAAACCAGCTCTGCTTGGAAATCAGACAACTCATTCACTGTCCCAAGAAATGAACTCGGGTTGATTTGAGCCCAAATTCCAGCACATTAAACCGTGGCCATCAACAGGTGCGCATCACCCCAGCACATGCACACAGTTCATTTCAATCTGCTTTGTGAAAATAGGAAACTTCGCTACAAACATTTTCGCATTGGCTAAATTAAGGGCTGAGATATGTGGATAACTTTTCCTATTCGCCCTACACAAGATTGTAATCTAAGAACAAAGAAGAATAAATTCAGCTAAGTTGCATGGGGGGGGGGGCGGGGGCAGGGGGCATGTCAGTGGCAGGGAGTCCTAGAAACTACGAATCACTCTATGGTTTGTATATACTTGCACAAAGATGTGCATTTGGCATCATGCTTGGGTATCACAAAGGATCAACATTTCACTGGAAAACCAAACCAAACTTTGACCCTAATGGTTTAGCCAATGAAAAAAGAAGTGTTTCTTTTCCTCAGCTACTCAAAATGATTCCAACAAAGACACTGGCACACCACATACACAAACATAGCAATGCTATGATGTGAATACAAATTAAATATTATAAATCTTTTTTTAAATAAGACCAATCTCATTAAGTGCATAGAACATAATGCAGAATACTGGTACGTACAGTGAACATTATTGTTATTTATACCAAGCAATGCTTTAATATAAAAGAGAGTGTCAGCAGAGCCATTTGATGCTAATGTTGCAACAAAGACCAGGATCTTCCCCTCTGGGATAAACAGCAACAACCAAAACAATGCGTATCAGTTTATTAATAATTCCCATCTCCCCTGACCCACCAGCCTTAGTTGCTTCCTGTCAAACAATGAAAAATGCTGAATATTCCTCCTCAGAATTTCATTTTTTTAAATGTAGCAATCCAAAAGTACAGTAAAAATACACACTGCATTTTTAAAAAAAGTTTTGCATGTGGTTCAAAGATCTTTGGAAGCATCTTATGACTCATTAGCCTCTCTAGGTTACATAATAGCACATTTCAGAGGCTCCCAAAATTAACTTGAGTCCTTTAAAAATTATGATCACCACTGCCACAACAAGGAGAACATTCTCTGTTCTTTCAGTCTACTCCTCAGAGCTCATCTTCTCTTTACCTTTTTCAGATATGGGATCATGCAGGGTCTCTGAGGCAGATCCACACACTGCTGAGGGGGCTCCGTAACTGCGTTCACAGATCCATCTTGCTGCAAACCCAGTATTCATCTGGACAAAAAAATTGACCTGTCCTTTTTCTTTCTAAAGAAAGGGGACCCTGTATACCCTACCCCTCAAAAATAATGGATCATCCACAGTGAAATGAAACCCTATGCTATATCTTCAAGCAACATTTCTACTAGCATTGAGAACTCCAAAACTGAATGCTACATTTCTCTGAATCTAAATTTTTGTTTCTGGCATTCAATAATAACTTATGTGGGGAAAACCCCACATTTCTTTAATACTGTAAAATCAATCTGAGGGCAGAGGACCCATGCTGCGGCTGAAAATGGCATCCATGAGTTTGGTTTGTCCTCCTTGTTTGTTTTAATATTTGGCTGACACTTGCAGAGTTGGGGAAATGCAACAGAATATGATAAAGGTATTGCTCAAGTTGCATTATGCATTTTGGAAAGCAAAGGGGCAAACTTATGAGGGGGATGCCATTGATGATGGAGGCTTCATGTTTCTTGTAAAGGTGGTTCCATCTTTACACTGTACTCAAAAGAGGGAAATGACAGTGTCCAACCCTTGCACTCCATAATCAGCCCAACGGTCTTTACTTTATCACCTAGACGTGTACATTTAACATGTAAACAGAACAAAACATTGAAATAGCATTTTCACTGTGTCTAAGATTGCAAACTATCAGGAGCACCTTTAGCTTATAAAGTCATCTTGTTTTTCTTTCAGTGTTACTGTATTATCTTAAAGCAAAGATCAACATCTAAATGTGAAACCCATTTTTTTTTAATTTACTCTTTGCTAAGTGAAAAAAAGCATGTGTAAACAGAAGTAGAATCCGTCCCCATATTTTTATGGGCGCCATACAATGCATAGAGGAACCAGAAAGCAAGTGAGAGATATCTCATTCTAATACTTAAAAAAAAGAAAGGACTTGAAATGATGAATATTGTAACTTGCTCTGGAACAGAAAGATGCAAATTGAGCAGAATGTAAATTGCTCTGGAACAGTGAGATGTTACTGGGAGATGTTTGTTGACCTGATCAAACTCTTGTGTAAATTGGGATTTTGACTGTGCCGGTTTCTGCTCCGAACTGAAGAAAACATGGTGTTGCAGCCTGGGACTTTGCATTTGTGGAGTTGTCGGAGGTGCACAGTTTTGTAATGGGCCCTAAAAGTCCCTTTATTACTGTAGCTTTTTTGGCATAAGTGACAGGTTATTGGGAAACTGGAAGGTATGCTTGAGAAACTTAGATAAGGGTTGTCCATTAGAGAACAATCCTGATAAAGTTCTTCATTGGGTATCAAACATGGGCTTTCACAGCTTTCATCACTGTCCTCCAAAGCCTCTAGACCACCTTCATTGCCTCCATCAGAATCCCAAGAAGAATGGGCACTGCTCTCTGACTTGACACTTGAAGTAGTGCTTAAATCCAGAACAGCTCCATCGTTTGCTGGGTCATAGCTATACCTTTCAGGACAAGGCTCTCTGATCTTGCTCATTGGGAAAACCAGGCTGCCAGTTCGGTTTATGCCTTTAAAGATGACAGATGTCTGTTGCCCAACAGGTCCTTTCAAAGAGTCATCTGGGTGACACTCTTTAGCCATGTCTTTCAGAATGTGCATTGCATTGAAATGGTTCTTCTCAGTTTCCAAGGGATCTTTGGTTAAAAGCTTATGGTGAAGGTTCAGATTGGAGCTATGTCTAGAGAAAGGAGAATGACAATCAGGGATTCTGACGCACTACTTTCGTGTTTATTGGGAACGGAAATGACAACGGCTGTGTACAAGCTCTTAATGCAGCCTTTCCCCACTTGATCCTCTCCACTTATGTTGGGTTACACTTCCCAGCATACCCCAGTGAGTCACACCACTGAATCCTTTTCACTGGAGAGATGCCAAAGACTGAAACTGGACCCCTCTGTACAAAACCGTGTGTTCTCCCAGTGAGCCTCAGCCTCAACACCTGTGAGAAAGCCAGCCTGGAGCAAAGACTTTCTAGGTGCAGCCCTGAGCTTGCTACCTGCTGGAGTAGGATACCAGTACCAACACCACTACTGGCCTGTAGCCAACTGGGCTGGTGGTGGCCAACAGTCACACGCAAGAGCCCAGCATCTCCCTCCAACATAAGATATCTGAACTGGTTGTTTATGTTCCTGGTTTGAGAACTCTGGTGTTATAATATTAGTGGCATATCTGTTTTACCAACAGATAATTTACCCTCTTCTGAATAATTTTCAAAAAGGGTAGTAGAAGAGACATGGGGAATTATAGACCTGTTAGCCTTATGTCCATTCTGGGAAATACGATGGAGAGGCTTATAACAGTGAGAGAGCTAGTCACCCTAGATAAGGAAGGGAGGTTGGTGGCCATGCAACACGGCTTCTGCAAAAACAGGTCCTGCCAGATTAACCTTGTGGAATTCCATGACAAGGTTTTGAGGTGGCTAGACGGAGGGGACGCAGTGGATGCGGTTTACCTGGATTTCAGCAAGGCCTTTGACAAAGTGCCCCATGATATCCTGGTTGGGAAATTAAGGACTGCACTGTCCGGTGGATTAGGGCATGGCTGACTGACAGAAAGCAGAAGGTAACCATTAGCGGGGAATCATCGGGATGGCGGCCAGTGACAAGCAGGGTCCCCCAGGGCTCTGTCCTGGGGCTGATCCTGTTTAATCTTTTCATCAATGACATGGAAGAAGGGGTGAACAGTCTGCTGATCAAATTCGCAGACAACACTAAAACTGGAGCAGTGGCCACAACTGAGGAGCAGGTACTCCAGATCCAAAAGGATCTGGACAGACTATGAAAGTGGACAGGAGACAACAGGATGGCGTTCAATGTGGGTAAGTGCAAGGTCTTGCACTTGGGGCATAGGAATAGGTGTCATAAGTACAGGTTAGGTGACAAGTGGCTGGAGAGAAGCACTTGTGAAAGGGACCTCGGGGTGCTGGTTGACTGCAGGCTAAACATGAGTCAGCAGTGTGATGCAGTGGTCAAGAGGGTGAACACCACCCTTGGTTGCATAGCCAGAAGTGTGGCTTCTAGATCAAGAAAGGTATTACTATCACTCTACACGACTCTGGTGCGCCTGCAACTGGAGTATTGTGCTCAGTTTTGGGCCCCTCATTACAGAAAGGATATAGCCAGGTTGGAGTCAGTGCAGCGAAGGGCCACAAGGTTGGTGGCCGGTTTGCAGGGGATGGGGTATGAGGCGAGACTGAGGGAACTGGGTCTCTTCAGCCTGGAGAAGAGGAGACTCAAAGGGGATATGTTGGCGACATACAGGTATGTGAGGGGATGTCACGTGGAGATAGGTAGAGACCTGTTATCCCCTGCAGAGGAAGGCAGGACGCGCTCCAATGGAGCAAAGCTCAGGGAGCCAAGGTTCCATTTGGATGCCAGGAAGCATTTCCTGACAGTTAGGACCCCAAGGGTGTGGAATGGGCTTCCACGAGAGGTTGTTGAGGCCCCATCAGTGCGGGTGTTCAAGGATAGGCTGGACGTCCACATGGTGGGCATGTTGTGAGTGGAGCCGGCTGGTGCCGGAGGTCAGACTAGATGGCCCGGGATGCCCCTTCTGACTCGCTCTGTTTCTATGTTTCTTATTTACCAGGGCATCCAGATGAAAGATTGGCAATACATTGTCTACCAGATAAATTCCTACATACTAGAGCTAATATTGGCTAATATTTTCTATTTGCAATGTGCATAAGAGTTAACTGGCTGACTATGCACAAGAAATTGTATGTTGTGTGTTTTGTTCTGTTATTTATTTACAGTATTTTTAAACAATTTCACATCCAAACAGATTCTGGAACAGTGAAGTTAAACCAAATAAAGAAATGAAAACAATGAATCAAATGCATTTTAAAACAGAATCACATTGATACCACGGCTTGCCATTAACACTAAGAAAAGGCTTCCAGGAATAAGACTGTCTTTAGCAAGTGCCAAAAACAGCCCAGCAGTGCTGCCTGCATCACTGAAGCTCTTCTCCTGGTGGACTCCAGTCATGTCACAGGTCCTGATTGAACCTCCAGGAGAACGTCCTCCAGTGACACACATGACGAGGCAGGATGGCACAGGATAAAAAGCAAGTTGTTCGCTCTGGCCTCAAGTTGTTTAGAATTTTGCACACTAGTACTAAAACTCTGAACCTCAAAACCTTGTGTTTTAACTTACGACTGCAATAAAGAGCACACCTAGGTGTATGTGAAAGACACACATGTGTGTCTACACCTGCATACACTCCTGCAGATTTTCCTAAAAAATATAAGGAGAGCTATGAAAATACATGGTAAGCACAAGACCATGTACTCTCTGTGTAGGAAAAAATAGACTCCTAGAAAGAACAAGGAATCAGCCAGTGTAGTCTCCCAGCCATGACGGTACTGGTGCTTCATTTAATGCTGCCTTGGCCAGGGTAAAACTATTTTGTTCAATGGATTTTTATTATATCATGTTCTGATAAGGTATGGGGCATGACAGAGGAAGATATGATTGTAGGGGAGGAGAATATACTGTACCATTCTGTAAAACAGATTTTAAACAGATTTGCATTTCAAATTAGTCCTGTTATATGACTTCAGAAAAAGAATTCTCTCTCTCTCTCTCTTTCTCGCATGCGCACACCCACATACACACACAGAGAGGTTCCGTTTGTCATTTTCTTACCTGTCTCGACTTCTACGAGAAGGAAATGCAGCATTGCAACCCTCCACGGTGCAAATATGCATTTCTTTTAGGTGTACATTTTTAAAATGCATTTTTACACTGTAAGGGTTTTTAAAGGTCTTCTTACAGATGCCACAGTGGAAGCGACTGTCTTCCCGTGGAAGCCCCAGTGCATGTTGGCTGGCATGATCCATATCCTTAAAAGCTTCACAACCAGGTATGGCCACGCTGCTAGTGGACAGAGTGCCGACAACCCCCCCGCTCAGCAAGTGGTGGTGCATTTCACTGCAGTAAGGCAGAGGCACGTTGGAATCCAACTGCCCTTTAGCATAGTCACGGGGTCCGATCATCGCTTCGATCATGTCACTGGGCTGGTTTGGATCTTTGCCTGCATTTTCACAAGAAACGGTTTTGAGCAACTGGCTTTGTTCTGGCTTATCCTTTTTCTCGGGCCGATGCAATTCATCCACTTTGGTGCACACATTACTTGGCTCGCTAGATTTAAAATGTTTTGGCCCTCCAACCTCAGAGACGGATCTCCATGATGGACCTGAAGGGGACTGGTTTTCCATCGGGTAGTTTGGGTTTTTTCCTACCCTAGATGCGCACATCTTAAAGTGCCCTTCACTTACCGCCTGGGGAGGCATGTCATCTTCTGAACTGGCCACTTCATGAATTCCACCAGATGTTTCAGCAGCTTCCTTCTCTATCTTGATGGGCATGCTAGACTTACGGGATTTTTTCTTGGGCAGTGCATCGAAAGGTGAATCATTAGATACCAGGGGTTCAGGTACTGACGAGGAAAGTAGAGGTAGAGAAGGAAGCGTACCTGGCGTGTTTGCAAGCTCAGCTGGAGTGACGGGGCTGCGATAGAATGGAAGAACTGGCTGCACTGTTTTCAAGTTTGGAAAGAGGACGCCATGTTGCCCAGGACCGTGAAAACTTGGCTGCACCTTTGCATCGCTGCAAGAGTTCCCATAGCTGGGGAGAGATCTGTTGTCTGGAGATAAAATGGCAAAGTCTGTCCGTTTGCTCTCTTCCAGTCCAGCGATGGTCATCCCATTTCTAAGGTCTTTGTCTCGATTATTTCGGTTCATGGGCATGTGAAGTCGTGGATTGGGATTGGCGCTGTGACGATTTCGGCTGCGTAGGGAGCTAAACACCATGTTGCAGCCTTCAATGGTACATTTGTGCTTGATTTTCAGGTGGACAGCATTGTAGTGGATCTTGAGAGTTCCCTTGTCATAAAATGTCTTTTCACATGCTGTGCAAAAAACCCGTCCTTTCCGTGTCCCAGTCCCATTTTTGTCGATAGATTTAATTTTACTCTCTGGAGATACCTGGCCCATTTCGAGCTTTTCTACCATGTTTGGGGAATTCAAATCACGTGGTGAAGTGTTGTCCTCTGGTTTCAAAGTGGTCCCTGGGTTGGCTGTAGCCTTCTCGTTTTCAGCCTGAAATGCAGAACTGGATGTCAGGAAGCTGTTTTCAGAAAACGGCATGCGGGCATCCAGCTTCAGCTCATCGCCGTGGTCCCGCGGCTGCTCTACTGGCAGCCGCTCTGGGGGTGAGCCTATCAACGGTGGGGGCATGGGGCTGAAAAACTGGAAAGGCAGCATAAACGCCATATTGTTGACCACATTCTCAAAGTGATGGATGTTAACGGGGTTCATTTTGTCTAAGGGAGCAGAAAGGTTTGGATTCCTCTGACTGCAGCTTTCGATAAATGCCCTGATATCCATATTGGTTCCAGTGGCAGGGGTCACAATGGATTGTCCCTCTTTCTCTTGGATTGCCATCAGCTCCACAATGGACTTCGTTTCACCAAAACGCATAAACTGTTGCAAAGTTGCCAGCTCTTCTTCGCTCGACATGATACTCCAGTGGTCCAGAACCTTTCCCGAAGCATCCTGGAAAACAAGGCAAACCCCCACGGTAGCGCAAAGGACAAAAACCGGCACACTTGTGCTGGCATCAGATTTGGACGGATTCTCTCACAGAGCTCTTACAAATGGACATGTTGGACCACAACTCCCACCCGCAGCCAGCGAGGCCAGAGAGTAAGATGGCACCTTTGGAGGGTGCTGGGCTGGGGAAGGCTGTTTTGGTGGCTTATACATTCTGGGCTGTCCCGAGGCATTTTGCTGCCTGAGGGATGGACGAGATGATGCCACCCAACACATGGGCAGAAGCCAACCAGCCTGGCCACTGAATCTTTCTTCGGTGCTGGCTGCATTGGTACACCTGAGGGCACAGGGCAGACTGTGGGGTAGCCGCCACACAGTGCTGCCCATCAGCAACCTGCCCCCATGCTCTTGCCCGTGCCTCGTACAAGGGCCTGCTGCCAGGTGTAGCCCACCCAGTCTCCTGGTCACATGGGAGACAGGACAGTCATGGCTCAGCTTGGCCGCTCAGTGTGGCATTCTGTTTCCTCCACCTGCTGTGGAACACACTTGGAGGCCTGCTTGCCGGAACGGGGGATGCGGGATGGGCAGGTGATTTGAAGAGCTATGCCTGGCTGTTGGCCTTCCTCGTCTCAACCCACTTTGCACCCTTTTCCAGAAGGGTAGCTGTGCTAGTTGATTGCAGCAAAACACAGCAGATGAGCCATCTGCCACCTCATAATATATTTTCCATTTGTGCATTACGGTTTACTTCATCAAGCTTCCTTGCCATATCTAATTTGGAATACTTTCCGGGGGTATTTCTGTGTGAACATGTGAAAGCGGCTTTCTCAGCACACCACCATACCCAAGTTCAGGGGCAGGTGGATGTCACACCCATGGGACCTCTTCTGAATTTTACCAGAACCCCAAGTTCCATAACTAGAGTTCAGTTCCCATGTGCCATCATAAAGCTGTCCCATCAGGCTGCATCAGAGGGAGAGGCCGAGCAGGGCTATTCCATCAGCTTGGCTGAGAGGCTAGCTGGATCTTCTCTCTTCTTCCTCACCTGTTTCCTAGCAGTAGCCATTTTATCAGGCTACCTGAACTGTTTCCATTCCAAGTGGTTATTAGACAAACTGTAGCATTCATTTATACTTTATTTTTACGTTTATATTTTATGTTATATTTGCTCCCCACAAGGAACCCTGAGCAGCTTTTATATCTTCCTCCTCCTCTTCACTTTATCCTCACAAAACAAGCAGTGACTGGCCCATAGTCATTCTGTAAAGTGTCATGGCAGAGTGGGGACTGCAACTTGTCTTTCTGGAGTCTCATTCCATACTCTCACCACTAGGACATACTGAATCTGCTGCTTTCCCCTCCACCTTCCTCATTACTGTTTTCTTTTGTGCCATGACTTTCAGATGGTAAGCCTGAGGCAGGGACAGACCCCTTTCCCCCTCTCTCCCTCTCTGTGTTAAGACCTGCAAGGTGATCTATTCATTATTCTGCAGCCTCCTGGCTTTCTAGACTCCTGATCTGGTGGAGGAGGAGTTACATCGTGGGGTCTTCCCTTGGGCTATGGCTGAAGTGTGGGAAGCTAGGAAGGCTGGCTGTACAGTGAAGGAGGACCCTCTCACACATGCCGGGCAACCTCAAATATGACAACAACTCCCAAACTCCACCCATGATAATCCCCCCAAACCTTCCTCTTCCCTGAACAAGCCATTTCTTGGTTTCTTTGAAGGCCATTTCTGGTCCAGCACATTGATTTTCTATCAAACTGAACACGAGCAGTCAACAATGTTGAACACATTTTTGGCACGGGTTTCATTTCAGGAAGCCCAGAGGGAGGAGAGGGAGAAAATATGAGCAACCAATTCAAGACCGAATGCCATCTTTCAGCGGGGGCTGATTCAGCTCTGCAGGCTCCAGTTGACAATGGCTATGTTAGCTTTCTGAGATCAAGGATTTTTCCCCAGCCCAAACTACCCAATTGGTACCACTGAGAGGAGAGACTTATTGGTGGCCTTCTGGTACATTACCCTTGGCTTTCAATCATTCCATAACATTAGGGGTTTTTTTTTGTAAGGCACATGATTTCAAAGAATTCTGCCATTGCCCCACACAAATTAAGAGCGGCATTTCATGTAAGTATAGCATGAAGAGATGGAGCAATGAGGAGGTTTAGTTCCACATCTAAGTCAAGTATTCTTTTACTGCAAGTTTAATAATCTTCCAAGCTACTCAGATCAGAGAACAAATGAACCCGAATCGATCTTTCACCAGTGTTCACACAGCACAGCTGTAATTACACTAGAGTGTTGGAGTTCTTTCAAATTCCAGCCATACCAAACTTTTCCCAATAACTGCAATAAATATTTTATCACAGAACATATATTTGATGGCCTACTGGGAGTTTGCTCTGGCCATGCAAGACATTCCTAAGATGATGGTGAACGTATTATCATCAATTTTTCATGCAAAAGAGGTTCAAGGTAATTGAGCCCATATCTATTTTTTTAACCTAACATTAAAAAGCAAGATTATTAAGTGCCATTAAATGTTTATTTCTGTCATGATGTAAATCATAACATTATTTTAAAAGAACAGAGGCTGAGGAGGAAGGAGGGCTGCCTGCATATACCCAGGCTAACTTCTGCCTGGGTCAAGCCCAAAATGGAATCACTCAGACAGACAAACACATCTTGCAAATATCAGTATGGCCTTATCCTTTTGGTAGCAAAGCTCTGCCAAGGTGGGCTGAGTTGCTGGGATGGCAGTGGAATGTTCACAAACACTCCAGTTGTCAGAATGTTTGCATCACAGCTCCCATGGAAGAGGAGAAAGTTGCCAGTTCGGCTGGGATGAGCTAGTCAGTTACTTGGCTGCAGGTTTCTTCTTCAAAATACCTCGCAATCAAACCATCTCCTCACATTATTTCCCACTTTTGGGGTACGGTCACACTTCTAGCAGGAGGGCATAATGCCATTGGCCATGCCCACATGGTTCAATGATGCAAAAGTTGCCAGATCTACATGCTGTTTCCAAAGGAACTGGCAATTCATAGTGGTTGAGCTTAATTAACCAACCCTTCCCCAAACAAGGCCATTTGGACGTGGCCCAACTGCTGCCCCCTCTTTTTCTCCTTTCCCCTGGGCTTCCTGATTAAGTTACAGGGCACCATATTCTCTGTAGCGAAGCCAGTGCATGAGCGGAGGCTGAGGGCTAGTGTGAGGCATCGTGCCCGCTTTGACCACATGGTGTCTCTCTGGTCCATCTCCTGCCTGGAACCAAGCAAAACAAAACAACCCAGCAGTGCTGATCGCCACCCCAGCGGCTCAGGCAATCAGGCTCAGAAAAACAGGGCAGAGTGTCTGGTCTACGTCAGCAGCCTGGGTGCAGGCTAGGGGGGCTCAAACGCTTTGCTCTCTGCTGTGGTCTCAGTTTGAATGGTGCCACTTCTCACTGGCTACGCTTTTTAAAGTTTTCACGTGAGCTCCAGCTACATGGCAAATTGGGCCCATGGCGTAGAGAGGAGAGGAACAGGCACACTGGCGAATGGTGGCTCCCATATTCAGCTTCCACATTACCTGTAGGAAAAGGCTCTGAGCTGAGGAAAACACTCGGGGTGGGGGGAGGAGCAGTGGCCATGACAGCCATGGCAACATCCTCAGGGATGGGCCGCAAAAGCCCCAGTAGGCTGGAGAGCTGCAAGCCCACCATGTTCTCCATTACTTGAGCCCCTCCAAGTTGTAACAGGGTTGGCCCTACCACTGGAGGGGTGGAGGTGTGATGGTGCAATTGTTGCAGGACAGAGGGGTGTGTGCCAGGTGGCCTGCTCAGTGCCCCCTAATTTAGCCAACTGTCCTTTCAGTGTAGGGGCGGATGCTGCCCCATGGCCAGTGATGAAGTAAGAGCCGGCTCTTAGTCCAGCTGGCTTCTGCACATGAAGCGGGGTCCCATTTTACTTTCACCTCAAGTTGTGGAACACCTGGGGCTGGTCCTCAGCTGTACCTTTGCCTTTGGGCTGCTTGCTGGCTGTTGGATGACTTTTATGCTGCTCTTTTAGAGTGCAGCATTCTGATGTTCCATTGATTAAAAAATGATAATTCAGTAGAGGTTCAGTTGTGAGCTCAGGTTGTACTGAACTCTCACTGCAATAAGTGAATGCCTTTCCCAGGCCTGGAAGTGGGGTTTGGCTTAGAAGGGCAAATGTCGAGAGCCCAGAAGCTCAAAGGGCCCATCTGTGCCCTGAGCCTTCTGCAGTGAGTGCTGCCACCCTCCTTGCCCATCTGGCGGGTTCCTCTTGCAAGAAGCCCAGGTGGCTTAGGTACTCGCACTCCTCTCCATTGTATCCTCATAAGAAGCCAGTGAGGTAGGTTAGGCTGAGAGTCAGTGACTGGCCCAAAGTCACCCAGTGACTTTCAAGTGGGGGAGAGAGCCTGCATCTCCAGGGTCCCATTCCAGCTCTCTAACCACGGCACTACACTGGGTCCCAATGTTTTTAGTTGTTCTCTCTTCTGCAATGTTTGCAATTTTTGCAAGCTATCTCATTAAGGGTGGGGTCTAGAAATACTTTAAACAGAATGAAATATTACATTTTAAAATGAAATTCTGAAGCAGGAACTGCCAGCAGAATAAAGAGTCTCCCACTGTGAAGGAAGAAGAAGAAACAGGGCAAGTTCAAGGCAAAGGATAATATGGCATCGCATACAAACAGGCTGACTGGGCTGGCAGCTGAATCTCCCACTGGCAATGGCAATGGGGCAGCACCGTCCGTAAAACCTGCAGGTGGCAGGCACAGGGCAGGCTGCGTGGCCCACAGGTCCCTCCTCTAACACCTGGCTGCCACCTCCCAGCATTTGCTGCCTCATGTGGCCTTCCTACTCTGCATCATGTTAGGGCTACCACTAGCTAGGAAACTAGCCTCCAAGAAAGCAATCCAGAATGGAAAAGCTGCCTTGATTCTCCTGTGAGACTCAGGGGGTTAATCTGGAGAGTCTTCCTAGGCAAGACTGAAAATATTCTACTCCTTGCCTTGTCCTTAACTTTGAGGATTTGGGGTGACTCAGAGCAGAGCCTGAGCAGAGAGGAAGCAACAAATGGGCAATCCTTCAGGAATTCTTCTGATGAATACATGGCATTTTTCCTACTCTTCCTTCAAGGAACTCAGTGTTGCGCGGCTGCTTTCTTCCCCATTGTGTCCTCAGAGAACCCTGTAGTGTTACTTAGACTGAGATAATGTGATTAGCACTGGGGTCAGTGGCTGGTTTGAGCCTGGGACCTTCTATAGTTCATGGGCTTCCTCAGCAAACAATGCAATATAGTGAAATTAAATACTAACGCCATATGGTCAAATTCAGCAAAGATTACAATATTGTACCATATTATTCCACCATCTGCTTTTCAAAGCTATAAGGCAACCAGTAGCAAAGTACTGTACCTTCCAACAGGAGTTCTTCTCGTTTGCATTTTAACTAGTTGGTCAAGCATGCCTTCCTCTGAGACACTCTTCTATCCACCACTCACTCCATGCTCTGTTCTTTTCCCACCGACATTCAACCTTTAATGGCCGCTGAGGGTGCTCAGTCCTCACTGGGCCAGGCGTCCTCCTTTGGCTTGCTTTTTTAATGTTTTGCTTTCCCTCTGCAAACCTCTGGGTTCCCCCAAGCATGCTGATGTCTCCGTTCTCATTGGCATTTGCGCTCTCCATTTCTTCTGGCACTCACCTGTTGGCTATTAGAGGGATGTTGGATCAGGAAGAACAGTCCTACCTGCAAGACGTATCCACGTATGTAGTCTTGAAGTGTCCAGTCCAGAGCGTGGAGGATGTGGATGACTTCTTCTTGCTTCAGGACACTGAAAAGCCGATCCAAGAGAATTTTCAGGCGGACAGGAATTGCTTGAGTTCCATACAGCATGAGGCTGCTGATATCAAAGACGACGTTAGACTGGACTATCTCCACTTGGCTCGTTGGGTACAAGTTTGGAGCCCTTAGCTTACTTAAAGCTGAAAAAAAGAAAACAAAACGTGAGTTACAACATATATATAACTCGGTATGAAACAATTGGAAAAAACAAACAGAACAGGACAGGACAGGACAGGACAGGAAAGGTCATTGAAATTTCAGGGAATATCGCTACTCATTCCATATACGAAGCAATGTTCGGAGAGGCTGCAGCTTTAAGAGCTGTTCTAACAACAGTGGTTTTCTTTCCCTTCAGATCTGTCAAACTGGGACTATCACAGGGTGTACTTCCATTAGCTTATATAGACTCCAAACCACCAATCAGCAAATATATACATAGTAAAACTACCATAAAAACATAGCAAAACAAGTACGACGCTGACATTCATTTGCAGCTGCCTAGAGTGTCTCTATAGGGAATGCCTGTTTATTAGTTGTATCATCATCATCATCACCACATTTGCATTGATATCCCAACTTTTCTCCTTTTACAATGAACCCAAGGTAGTTTACGAAGTTCTCCTCTTCCCCATTTTACCCTTCAACAACCCTGTGAGGTAGGTTGAGCTGAGAGGTAGAGTGGCCCCCAATCACCCTGTGAGCTTTGGGGATGAGTGGAGACTAAAACCCAGATTCAAGACATTTGGTTTCTTACCGTGGGCGACCCATCCATGCCGACACAGGTCACATTGTCGCTGGTTTATTTTTCCAGGTTTAAAACGCTGACAGCTACAGTTTACCAGAGTGCACCTGATAGCCTGAAAGATCAAGGAACAGTTTAAAACATTCAGAAGTTAGTAAATTCCTTGTCCTGCAGGAGAAAAGAATGTGTGCAGGAGAAACAGATCATTTGTGCATTAAAATGATTAAAATGAAGAATTAGGAATACTCATACACACATATATACAGATCAATCTAGTTTTAATGTAAGTCTAGACTAGGGATGTATGAAAAATATAAAATCTGTTCTATCATGGTTTGTATGGGGCTTTTCATTTCATTGTCTGCTCATGGATGGAACTGTTTTTTGCACAAATATATTTGTATACATTTGCACAAATTTGCACTCCGAAAACATCAGTCCCCCTGCCATGCATATTTTCATGCTTTAGCCAATGCAGGAAATGCACATTTTTGGTTAGTGTTTTGTATTTGGGAAGTTTTTTTCTAATTTTACTTGTGTAAAATTACAGAGCTTTTTTTAATGGTCTGTTAGTCTGCAGAATCCATACAGCTTAAGGAATCTGGTTGACTGCAGACATGTGTGTGTATAACTTATTTTGTTTACAGCATTCTTATACCCCTTTTCCTACCTAAACAATTTCTGGAGTGCTGAACAATCCAAAGTTAAAACAGATAAAAGAATAAAAACAACGCATTAAAATCATGTACATTGTTGATTGATGAAACATTCGTCTTACATTCCATATCATATGTAACTCTTTCAGTCTCAAATAAATTTCCTAACTTCCTCTCTCCCTTTCATTTTCAAATTCTCCATAAATATTCTTCCCATTTTTAAGTATTGTTTTTAAAGGAGTGTATGCCAACTTGTGCAAATTAGATTTTGCTCAAAGCCTTCCATTGTGCACAAACTACTCCAGGGCCATGTGGTTGTTGGGTGCGCACCAGAGCAAATTTCATTAGTAATCATAAAAAATGCAGAAATAAAAAGCATTATATACATAATATAGTATTTTGTGTATTCGTTTTTAAATTTAATCCCCAAAAATGAAAATTCTCTAAAATATCCAGAAACCAAGCAGTGAAATGCTAATAGAAGAATAAAATATTGAAATTAAATGCAATTAAATACAACCAAGATTTTTAGAGAGCAATATTTAATTCAAATTCATGTTTGAGGACCCCAGATTTCCCGAGTGACATATAAGATGCAAGACTTTACCAATTCTTTACGTTTTTTGTTTTTGATATTCGAAGGGCAACTAAATAAGATGCTTGAAGCAGTGATTTATCATTTTTGTCTTTTTTCATCTGAATTTTCTGACTTTTCATTTGGTTATGTAAAAAAACCTCACGTGGCTTGTCAATAAGATTGCTGCACTTTGAATGCAAATGATGAGCAAGTTTTGAAGGTTTCATTGCATCATTTGACAAAATTTCAGAACGTGCCACACACCAGGGATGTGGCGATTGTTCACTACCAGGGGCTACAGTGAAACCAAGTTTCAATTGTCCTGATCATAATGCCTAACAAAGTTTCCTTTCCTTTCCTTTTTTTTTTTTTTTTTGGTTTCTGTTGCACCTACTGGAGTATCAACACATTTTGTTTTCACTGTTAAAACTGTTTCACTGTTTAAACTTGAAACACTCATACTCAGCTTACTCTCCGTGTCATCAATACTTTTCTTTTGACTATTGTTTTTGCTTTTGAAGAAGGTTAAAATGTTTTGTTGCTTTTTCCTTCCCATTTTATAAGGTTTAAAATTACAGCACAATGAAATGAGAAATAACTTGCCTTAAAAATACCAAAAGGAAGTATTTGCAAACAATATGCATGCGTTGTCGACAGGTGGACATGACGGATACCTACCAAGTATAATTTATAAGTACCAAGTGAGTAATTTGCATCTGTTTGATGACACGCATCATACGTAAGCCAGCAGGGAGTTAACATGTACTCACCACACTGCTACCTAAACTGTCCCAGACAGTGTTGCGCTGAATGATATCATACTATCTTAACTTGCACTTTAAAGCCTGAAATCACACAATTGTATAGATCACATTATTTATTTATTTAAAAATTTTCTGTGCTGTCCCATTACTAAAAGTCTCTGGATAGCTTACAAAGGACATCATCATAGAGCATATTACCCCTGGTATTTAACTATTTAATACGATTCTGATATTTTGGACTTTAAAGTTTTAAAGTTTCGGAATGTTTCTGGCTCTTTCTCAGATTGGCAGGATCTATGATATACACTGAAGCCTAGTGGTTAGAGCCAGTGTAGCATAACGGCTCACCCACAGGGCTGGGACTCAGGAGCTCGTGGTTCTAGCCTCCCTGCTCAGCCATGAAGCTCACCGGGTAACTTTGTCCCAGCCAGGAACTCTTAGCCTAACCTACCTCACAGGGTTGTGAGGATGTGAATGGGAAAAGGAGACGGATTCTGTAAAGTGCCTTGTGTTCCTTGCAGGAAAAAGATGAGGTCTAAATAAACAAACAAATAAGCTACATGAGAAAAACCAGAAGATTTGCTGAAGTAGGGTGGATGATCAGCTTCACTGATACTAATACCTGGTCTGCCATTCATGCATCCGGCCACTCCGGAGCTGGGGTGGGCAACGGGGTGTCCACAGGCCCCAGTATGCTCTCGGCTTCCTTTGTGGCACATTCCACACTGTGATGGCTCCCAATTTTTCTTTTTCTGTTTAGGTTAATGCATTTTCTTACTGGCAACTTCAAAGCAAAGTGAGAGCCTTCAGTCACTCTAATTTCCTTCCCCATTCTGCCCCCTGGGCTATTCAGTGGGGATGAGAGACATATTTAGGAAAGGAAGACGGGAGGTAGCCGTGACAGCCATTTTGTGGTCGTGCCCAAGACAGTTTCTCAAAGGGCCAAATGTCTACCAGCCCGGATCTCAAGGGAGAGAAGGGGAGAGTGTTGCATCAAAGGGAATATGGATTAATAAAATCAAACAGGTCCCATGTAGCAGGTTGAAATAAAAGGCCAGTCTAAAAGTGTACAGACTAGGACCACAGTGAAAAATATAATAAAGATACATCCTTGAGGAAAAAATTGTAAGCTTGTGCTGGTAGGAAACACACCCCAGTGCATACCATAAATCAAGCAATGAAAATTACCTTGCTTTAATGTAGACAGTCGGTTAGCAAAGCTGTCTGCACATTTTAAGAGAGCTGCAAAAAGCCATAAATTTCCTTTTATAAAGTTGTTTCAAACAGTGGAGTATGTGAGTGGTGTAGTGGTTAAGAGCATGGGACTGGGACTCAGGTGACCTGCGTTCCAGTCCCTCCTCAGCCATGGAACCAACTGGGTGATTTTGGGCCAGTCACAGACTCTCAGCCCAACCTACCTCACAGGGTTTTTGTTGTGGAGATAAGACTGAGAGGAGGAGGAGGAGAATGATGTAAGAGGCTTGGAGTTCTTTTTTTAAAAGGAAAGAAGTGGGATATATATCAAATAAATGAATAATAAAATGAGAAGAGGCTACTGAATTGCTCCAGGGCCTTGCCAAATATAACTGGGGCTCAATTGTATTACCTTGCTGGGCATCTAAAGATGCTGCATATTCCACAGACTGAATTGTGCCCAGTCCCATCAGATCAGAGTTGGAGCAGCGCTCTGTATACAGGAAAGTCCACAAAGAGGCCCTCAAGGCAACCCAGCAAGGACTGAAAGGAGGAGTAGGAGGAGTTGTAATGGCAACACACACGCCAGTGTCTGGGTGAGTCGCCATTTGCCCTCTTCTGGACAAGCAGGGCACCAGCGGGCGTGAATGCAGCAGTCCCTCCTGCCCATGGTCCCCAGCACCTGGTCGACACAGGCACGGTGCCTCTGAGGCTTGGGGTGGCAAGCAGGCCTCAGGGCTCCTCGGCAGTGACGGCCATCTCTGGCATCCTTTCTGAAAGCCACTACAGCTTGCGGGAGCAGGTCCCATAGTGCGACGATGCACCGTGTGAAGAAGTCCTTGTTATCATCACCAGGGGCCATACTCCACTGAGACCCGGCCTTTTTTCCTCCGCGAGGAACCCAAACTGGCTTACACTTGCCTCCTCCCAAGTTCATCCTCACAACAAGACCCCTGTGAGGTAGGTCAGGCTGAGAGTCTGTGACTGGCCCGCAGTCACCCAGCAGGCTCCGTGGCTGAGTGGGGGCCGCACTCCCACCGTTCTGGCTTTTGTTTCCTGTGTCCCACATCTGCCAGCACTCGACGCCAAGGGATGCCCCTGCACATTTGCCACACGCTGCAAAGGATTCTGGGTCTTGTCCGAGGCTGCATGCTCATAGTCACAGAGGCCACTGGGCCGGCCTGTCTTGTTTCTCACTTACTGTGCGCGGGACCTGCCAAAAAGCTTCCCGATACTCCCCAGGGGCCCACAGTCTACGCCAGAGGGCAGAGAAATGAAAGGTGAGGCAAGGTGAGGGAAAGTAACCTGCTATCACTAATCTCCTTTGGCATCTCCCCAGTGAAGCTTCATCTGATCCAAGTTTCTGATCCAAGCATGCTCCTACCCCAGACTTCAGCTCAATGCCTTGCCAATTCTCATCTACCAGCGTAGCACAGAAGTTGCAGAGCGATGATTCAGTGCTTCTGGGTCAACTGGAAATGAGCAAAATGCTCACATGAGGGGGCTCACACAAATGACCCTCCACTTGCCCAACATAATTGGCAGAGTGCAAGAGAACTGGAGAATGCTTAGCACTCTGTTGGACTCTACTACTAATTTGTAAATTCCTTCCATACATATGTTAGCATATGCAGCTTTTATGTACACACGTATCCTCTTTGGCCTTCCTAGTCTCTTCTAGCCTTCCTCTTTTTTGGCAATGCATAAGGGACAACCTGTTTCAAGATACAATTCATTTTGTAAGGAAGACTGCTTCCACAAGAAGCAGAGCCTTTCTGGTTGTAGCCCCAGAGATCTCAAAGGCTAGTTGTTTATCTCCTTTTAATGTCATTCCAAAAACACGTGAAGACTGACTGAAGATGTTGTTTTTTTGTTTAGTCACTAAGTCATGTCTGACCCTCTATGAACCCATGGACAACATTCCTCC